CCACAATCGCGCGCTATATGTGTGTGTGTGTGTGTGTGTGTGTGTGTGTGTGTGTGTGTGTGTGTGTGTGTGTGTGTGTGTATGTGTGTGTTTGGTTTGCCGTGCTTGGCATGTTATGTCGGTCCCTGTATCGCCCCATCGTATCATGTCGTCGCATTCGCCCACACGACGATCGGTCTCACGCTTTTCCCTCCCTTCGAGCCCCGACCCCCATGCTGTGTGTGTGTGTGTGTGTGTGTGTGTGTGTGTGTGTGTGTGTGTGTGTGTGTGTGTGTGTGTGTGTGTGTGTTTGTACTCCCCAACAGCATCTGCGGCAAGTGCTACAGGTACTGACAACATTCATGGCCATGTTCTGCCTCTGACATTAAAGTCGCGTGCTCGAATCCCCCCCCCCAACACACACACACACTAACATGCTGCCTAACACTCTTGCGCCCGCTTTTTGCATTTCCTTCTCACACGTGCCACGCTGCCATGTGTTGCCTGTCGGAAACACCAGTGGGCTGTACAACGACATTGGGAAGCTGACGCAGAACGACCTCCTCCCACTTGACGCCACCCGTCCCGCCGCCGAGACCCTCCCAGAGCGTAAGATGCACGCGCACACACACACACACACTCTCTCTCTCTCTCTCTCTCTCTCTCTCTCTCTCTCTCTCTCTCTGTCTGTCTGTCTCTCTCTCTCTCTCTCTCTGTCTCTCTCTGTCTCTGTCTCTCTCTCTGTCTCTCTCTCCTTCCTCTCCTCGGTCACCGATCTTTGCTTGTTCTTGTGGTGCTTTGCTCTGGTACACGATGGTGCTTTGCTCGCACACCGTTCTCATTTCGCACACGTTTGCGTTTGTTTGTCTTCTCAGAGTTCCGGAGGCTTCCGCGCGGCTGCAAGAACGACTACAACTGCCCACGATCGGCCTATCACGTCAACCTCCCACAAAGTAAGACCGGACACGATATCACATGGGCACGGATTGCCGCCTTTCCGCAACACTGTAGCTCGCGCGCCCACTGCTATTCGTTGCCCGGCCTTGCGTCCCCCCCCCCCCACACACACACACTTCCCACGACATTGGCCCACAAAGTCCCACCACGAGTCACTACCAACACATTTACCCCTCCCCTTGTCCAAGTGTCCTCACACGCGTATTCTTCTTCCCAACACGTTGCTCGTTCTTGCCAATGTTTTCGTTCAGCGGAAAAGTGCACACGGTGCCGGAGCGTCGCCATCTGTGCAGCTGTGCCCCATTTTGCTCAGTCGCGTGAGTATCTTGCTCTATGCTTGTCCCGCATTGTGTGTCCGTTGCATCATGCGTACTATTGTCGCTGCCTCGCGTGTGCGCTCACAATGCGCACGCACTCACAATGCACTCACACACACGCACACAACGTCCTCAAAATATGACAACATTTCCGTCATCACTGCCACTGCCATCAGAGCTGAACCGGGCCTACAAGAAGGCGGTGACCAAGTACGGGCTCACCCGGTACGCGCCGCTCATCTCCAACGATGACAACGACGACGACCATGAGGATGACGATGAGGAGGAGGAGGATGATGAAGAGTACGATGACGTTCATGGTGATGATGATGAGGATGATGATGATGACGACGATGATGAAGATGAAGGGCGCGGCCAGCTCAAGGGCAAGCAAGGCAGCAGTCACTCCAGCACAGGCACGAGCTACGACGACCTGGATGGCGAGGCTGCTGGTGACGACGACTGATGTGCACACCTCCTCTTCCGCTGTCGTTCTGTCAATCGGATCGCAACATCTCTTTGTCCAGCTCCTGAACCCATCTGCCACCGTCAATCCCTGCTGCTGCTACTGAAGCAGCTGCAACAGCCAACCAACCAACCAACCAACCAACAACAACAACAACAACAACAACAACAACAACAACAACAACAACAACAACAACAATAACCAGACTACAGAACGTACAAAACACACAAGAACTAGCAGCCGCAGCAACCACTCAGCCCACGCCCTCCCCCCGGGCTAACCGGCTTCCATACGCTTTATGTGCTTCGTTGTTTTTTCTCCATCGCTGCGTGGAAAAGGACTTTAAGTGGTTCTGCACGACCAACTTGCCCCCTTCCCCTCTTTTGCTTTCCTCTCAGCTCAGTCTCCCAACGTGTCTTCTAACGTGTCTTCCTTCAGTCTCCCAATGTGCCTTTACATACTCCTTTTGCCATTTTCAACTGCGTGTCTCGTCAAGTGTCAGCGTTTCGCTGCTGTGTGTCACATCACTGTTCCCTGCCGTACCTGCCTTATGTTTATCGATTGACTAACTGTCGTGTTGATTTGTGCGTTGTTGTATGCGAAGGTTCCCCCCCCCCTCTTTCCCCTTCTCAGCTTTCTCTGTACCCCTGTCTTTGTGGTCTGGCTCGTGTTGTGTTCGATTTCCCCACTACGCCCCAATCTCTCAACTTGGGCCCATCGGCCTCGTCCTTGTGCTGCTGCCCCTGATTCCGAGGTGTCTTAACTCCCCTGATCGCTTTTCGTTTCACTGCCATCTCCCCTTTCCTGTCCCCCTGTCCCGACGTCCTCCCCGGCGGTGTCATCAAGACGTCCACATGTGCAGTTCCTGTCGTTGTGTGTGTGTGTGTGCGTGTGCGTTGTGTGTGTGTGTGCGCGTGTGCGTTGTGTGTGTGTGTGTGTGTTGTGTGGGCGTGTGCTTGTCAGAGGCTTCCTGTCAGCACCCATATGCTCGTTTGTGACATGTTAGTTTGTCGAAATCGCTTTCACGTCTGGGTGTCGAATCGCCATTGTCGCTCTCTCCCCTGTGCTGCTTCTCAATTGTCTCTTTGTTCTTGCTTGTTCTTGCTAGTGTTCTTCGGTTCTTTGTGATAGCTTTGTAATCGCGCGCTCATGGCGAACATGTGCGTGCGTGTGTGCATGCGTGCATGCCAACAGTCGTTTAGGCCACGTCATCTCACCCTCACCCTGACCCCATGTTGTCATTTTCACATCACTTATCGTCTTCGCCAGCTCACCGTCTCCAACATCATAAACCATCTCAAGCATAATTTGTTGTGAACCACAAGCAGTGTGTCTGTCTGTGTCTGTCTGTGTGTATGTGGTGTGCGTGTGTCTCTCTGCTTGTGTGTCTGTCTGTCTCTGTCCCTCTGTCCCTCGGTCTGTTTCTGTCTCTGCGAAGCCAGTGACAGGCATTCAAGTGCGTCGTGTAACCTTCATTCGAACTAAGGCATCAACAACACAACACAGCACGAGCAACGCTGGTGGGCGTGTGTAACAAGCAACCTACAACGCAAAGACAGCTGGCCCACACGTGATTGCATGCGAGCAACTGTCACACGCGCACACATGAGACACCACAACGTACGAAGCCATGCACACGAGTTAACTACAACATCTGCACATGTGCATGTCCCTCCCCCCTCCCATACACACTCTCCGACATCATGGTGGGCGGGGCTTTGACGGTGAACGGGACGGCTGCTGTTGCAGCGCAGCAAACTGCTTCGCCATGCCCTCAAAGTCGCCCACACCAAAGTCGTTTGGATGCTTCCTTCGTCGCTCCTGGAAAAACTCAAATGCTGCAGCATCAACAACAATCGTGAGTGCATGTGTGTTGTGGTGAGAAGATGACATGGTAAGTGGGTTCGACAGAGAGTACGCAGACAAACCCAGCAGGAATAAAGTATGTGAGTGTCTCGTGGTGATGAGGCGACATGGGAAGTGGAAGGGATGGGGCAGGCATTCTAGTGAGCGTAGCG